TGTTCTTCAAAACTTTTTCCGACGATGATGATGTCGTCCAGGTATATCAGGCAGGCTTCGTAGGAAAGGCCCTTCAAAACAGTCCCCATAAGAGGTTCGAATGTTGCCGGCGCATTACACAGTCCAAACGGCATCACCTTGAATTGCCAAAGCCCTTGTCCCGTAGTAAATGCCGTCTTTTCTCGGTCTTTAGGCTGTATTTCTACCTGCCAATACCCACTCTTTAAATCAAGTGTTGAGAACCACTTGCTTCCAGAAAGAGTGTCTAGAATGTCGTCAATTCTAGGAAGAGGGTAACTGTCTTTCTTCGTAACCTCATTCAACCGGCGGTAGTCGACGCAAAATCTTGTTGAGCCGTCTTTCTTTCTGACTAGGACGATGGGAGAAGCCCATGGACTTACTGAAGGCTCGATGACATCGCCTTCTTCCATATCTTTTAACAGTGTTCGCACTTCTTCCTGTTTAGTAAACGGTAGACGTCTTGGATGTTGCTTGATCGGGGATGATCGCGGGTGTCTATTCTATGTTGTGTCAAACTAGTTCGACCCACGTCAGAAGACGAGCGGGAGAAAACAACTTGAAGATCTTTAATGACGCGATCGGCAGCATTTCTCTCTTTATCGTTTAATTGTGCATTCTGCAATAACTCCGATGTAATGCTCTCTGAGGACACGGATTCTTTGTTACTCTTTCTTTCAACGCTGGTTACTGGAGTACATGTTGCAACCACTTCACCTTTTTTAATAACTCTCGACTTTTCAGTTACATTGGCGACTCTCACCGGGATAACCGTTCTGGATAGGTCGACGAGTGTTGAGGCTACTAGTACTCGTTTTGGGCTATTACAGTTATTGGGATATTCTATGATGCCGTAGCGGAAATTTCTGTTTTCGGCTATGGATCCAGGAAGTAAAATTTCTGGTCTTGCCGATATTGTGATATGGTCTTGTGCTATGATTTTATGGACAGATTTAACTTCTTCATCATTAACTCCAAATAACGCTATGTCCTCAGATGTAGAATGCAATTCGTTATTTTTAAAGTCCAAGGAAAAATTGTATTTCCTTAGAAAGTCCAATCCGAGTATGCAAGAATCAGTGATCTCTGCTACATGTGCCGTATGATGGTAGACGGCTCTTCCAAACGTGATGCTCACGTTTAACTTCCCAGCTATGGAGATTTCTTCGCCAGACGCAGTCTGGAAGGTAACACAGGATGGCGTCCAAATCAGTTTATCTTTAAATTGTTGAGCTAAATCTTTCCGAATGATCATAACATTAGCTCCTGTGTCAATGATCATATTGCAAGGAACTCCGTCGATATGCCCATTTATGTTGCCACTCACTGCTGAAATTGCTGCCATATATCAGAGTAGTTATCTTCTAACTACTCAAACGTTCAAGAGAACTTAATTCAAAACAGCTAAAGAAAGCTAATCCGCGAATTCGCTACAGTCAACAAGAGCAGTTTTCTAAACAAAAACAAATTAAGTAACTACAACGAACTGAGAGGTTTTTACTTTTGTAAGATTTTAAAATCGCGCGCGAGAATTTTCTAGTACTTTCTCGAAATTGAAAAAGATATATTTATTAAATGTTACGTGCACGCGCTCTTGTATTTTCAATTTTCCGGCTTAGCTTTCTTTTAATATTTGTCACGCGCTGCACTGCGCGGGAAATAAAACCATTTAATTTACAATTCAACTAACGTTAATTATTTAAATGCCAAATTCGTAACAATACATACAATCAATGATATTTTTCCTGCACGAAAGTGTTTAAATAACAATGAATATTTTGAAATTTGGAGTAAAACAGGACTTCAACTTTCACTACCGAGCATTCATATTTAGTTAGCAGATTTATTTAATTTTCTCTGGTTATGCTCATTTCTTTTCTTTTCTTTTCTTTTCTTTTTTTTTTTTTTTTAATTTTTTTATTCACAGAAATAATTTTTATTGCGAAGCACCAGGAATGTCCTGCGCGGGTGGAAATTTGCACCATCTGGAAAAACAAAAAATATTTTATAACCAAAAGCACTTCAATAAATATAACTAAAAGACAAACAAGTTCTTTCTTTCAAGTAGCATTGCAACGCATGCCGAGTAACAGCCACGTATCCCAATGATTCCAACACAAACTATACCGCTCGAATTTAAATATTTGCAGTTTCCGGTGCGACTCGCATTTGCAGATAAGCAACAAAGCACAGCGACAACTGCTGGAAGTTCGTGGACTAAACTTGGAAAATCCATGCTTTTCACGTGGACAGCTTGTGGCTTGCTCATTGAATTGGTAAAACTTCCAATTTATTCATGTGCGTACCAGATGGAAAAACAAAAAAATATTGTATAAACAAAAGCACTTCAATAAACATAATTAAAACACACACTTTCTTTCCTTTAAATCAGGGTTTCTGAAATTTTTTTCACTCGCGACTCCTTTTTATCATTGAAATTTTTTCACAACCCCCAGGACCCCATAAATATTTACAAAAATTTTGTGGCATCATAAGTATTGCGCAAATCCGAGACACGCGTGAGTGAATCTGTCAATTTTTTTCACTTGCACTGTAATATACTATTGCAGTTTTAGGTCAATAACTTTAATTTCTAATTTTAAGACATAGAACAATGTGAAAGTTTTAAATAAGTAACAGACGAACAGTCGTCACGTGCAGAGCAAGGAAAACGAACGTTTATATTATAAAAAGAATGCGTCGAAACGTTTTCGTTTTTTTTTTTTTTTTCTTTATCTGTATTGTCTTATCTATATCTATTTTCAAATACATTGCATAATATTTGATAATCATAAAATTATTATAATAAGTTACAGAAATATCAAAACTGCTAAAATTCTTGGCGACCTCCTTGGGGATCGCGACCCTCTGTTTAAGAAACCCTGCTTTAAGTAACATTGCAACGCATGCCGGGTAACAGCATGGACCTTATAAGAAATAGATTAACCCAAACGGGTTTTCTCCCTCGTCTGAGGCGTTGCCGGCTCTCACCTTGATCACATCCGGAGGAGTAGGGACGGCTTGCAGAAATTTAACATTGGTTGCCTATTGCAGCGTGTATAGTTGTCGAGAAAAAGCGGGTTGTAGCGCCTCATTTCACAAATTCGAATTTCTACATATTTTTATTTTTAAAATTGAGATTGATTTTTAAAAACTTAACATATTTATCAAGCATAATTAACGTTCCAAATAATTATAAAGCTATAGTATGCTTTCAGGGCCGGATATTTTTTTTAACTTTTCCTATGCTATAAGGAAATTTGTAACTACTTCTTTTAGAAAATAATATTTTAAATCTGAACTAATAGAAAATTTCAATCAAGCAATTTTCTCTTGCAATTTTTATGCTTTTTATTGGTGTAAATAAGTAAAAAATACTAAAATATTTAAAAACGAATTTTTGAAAGTTTTGTTTAAAATTCTAAATTGTGCTGCTTTTTAAAATTATATATGAGTATTATAGCACAATTTCTGTAAAGGAATTTTATTTAAATTATATTTCATAATACAACATAGTGATAAACACTTTTGACTCTTTAAAAATTTTTATACATTTAATTATAATATTAAAATTGTATTTAACCGTAATAATTAATTTTTCTTGTATTTTATAGTGATTATTTTTTTAATTATTTTAGTTCTGCATCAGATTCTTTTTTTATTTACCGTTAATTTAATTTATTAGCCCAAAGCGGCGGTAGCCTAGAAAGGCTGTTAGTTTCGAAGCGGCATTTTGCGCTGTTTTACTATAAATGTCCGTGTCTCCTTTCAAATTGTTGTTACCAAATATTATCTCCCTGTAATATATGTAAAGAAATTAAATAATGAAGAATCTGCATGAATGTATGTATGTTTCTCGCACTGTGACTAAAACAACAGTATCTAGAGCCATCAAATTTTGAATAATCCTCCACCCGAACATCGGCATCTGGATGGCAGAATTTGGAATTCGTTTTAATCTATTTCATATTTTGTAAACCTTTAACGAATTTTTGATTAACAAACTCAACGAGTTCAGAGCGAGCACTGTACAGAAAATAACAGTTTTATCTCCAGTGCAGAAATTCTAAAGATATGCTGTTTTCAAATGTATGTGGTTTAAGGGCGAAGAACACGATATTCAATAAAAAGGTAACACACAAAACTTTAAAAAAAGAGTGCTTCTAGATTTTATTTTATCTTTTTTTTTTTTTTTTTTTTCCTTCATTACGTTCAGAAAATTTTATGCTCCGAATTTTATGAATTATTAAAATAACAAATCCACTTTAATGTAAATAATTTAATGATCATATAATCAAATAAATATGATCGTTTTGTAATGTTATTATAGTTTGGAAAATCACTACCTGAAAATGTTCATTAAAAATTATCAGATCTTGTTTAATTTTACTTTATTTTTTTCAAAGCATCGCGTACTATCAATCTTATTTAATTTTCCTTTATTTTTACGCAAAATTAAGTTCATAAATTTTGTCCTTAGAGTGTTTACCGTTTTACCAAAGTAAAGATGTTTGTACAAGAATTACGCGTGAAAAAAATGCGCGAAATGCAGTAAAAAGTGCTTTAATGAGATATATTGAATCCTATTTGGAATAAATTGTGGCTTTCATAATCTCATCACTATACAACGTATCACATTTAATAATTAAAGAGAGTTATGTGATAGAAACGCCATAGGTTTCAGTGTTAAAGTAAACCAGATCGTCCCTACTCTTTCTTGCCGACATGTCGGTGATGCGCGCCCCGCCCACTGGGTTAGTCTATCTCTTATAAGGTCCATGGGTAACAGCTAGTTACGTAATAATTTAAAGACCAGTAACATCATATCATGATTTTGTTAATCACACTGGCAACCTTCACGCTAAAAGTTTATCTAAGATCTGGTTAATCTTTTATGCCCATGCAAAAATCTGAGCTCGTGATTATTGTTGATATTTTCAAATACAGCTTCCGCTATGGATCTAATAGCCCTCAATCACAATCACACGAATGAAAACAAATTGATTTCAATACATGGTTTTCAGAATAAATGAAGAACCGAGGCATGAGGCAGTGCATTTGCCAAATATGCGTCTGCGGCCGACACCGATGTGAACATAAGGCAAGGCGTGTTCCTTTTGCTAGAGATCCAGATGGCAAAATTCCTATCACTGAGAGTAAAGAGAGGTACAGACATTTTGGATATCAGCCTCGAGTGCAGCCATTGAAGCCACCCTGGAGAAGCGAAATGGAAAGGAGACGAGCCAACTGTGAAAGTTTCTACCACCAAAAGGGATTATATACCTTTCCCCATTCAACGTCGTCCCCTCATGCGCCCAAAGATCATCAAGGAGGCAAAAGGGAAGATGGTTTGTTCCACTACCTATAAACACGATTATGGGGTAAAGAAAGCTGTGCCAACAAGTAAGATAAAAGGCGTTGAAAGCAGAAAGGATGGAACAATGCCAGGTACCTTACCCGGAAAGATAGAAGGCGTGACTACATATGGCAGAAGCTATACCCCGAAACCCACACAGAGAAGACAACCTGTAACTGGTAAAGAATGTACGCTAACCAAGCTTGGACAAGAGTTTAGAGGTAGGCAGTTTTCAATTTCAAGCATTTGATTCGTTAACAAGAGTAACTAGAATATATAAGCAGGCAAACTTTTTATTGTAATCTTCATCCCTCGGAAACAATAACCAGATCCAAAAGCCACTAAACATATATTGATGGTTTCTTTGAATGCATATAATTCTTTAAATAAACGATATTTGTTTAGATAAATGATTTTCAATATGCAAAGGTAAATATGTCAATAACAAAGTTATGGTTTCCTTTTTCTATTTACATTTAAATTTATTGACAGTATAAAACAATAATTCTTAACTTTTAACGATTAATGTATAAGGTATTTCTCCCGCCTTCCTAGCGTGCCTTCGTGGTGTAGTGGTTCTGGACGCTGGGCCGGTATTCCAGAGGTCCGTGGTCCGATTCCCGGCGAAGGCGAGTGCTCATTTTTCATCTCTCCGGCTTTTCCAAAGAAAAAAAAAATGTCTCTACAAATGACATACAATTAAGGCTTTTCACCCGGAGCCCGTCTGGGGCATTTTTTGATTTTTGAGCGAAATCTTGATTCTAGCGAGAGGGCTCCGGAGCCCCAAGTAAGGTGAGCTGAGGTATAAATGATAACAATATAAGTAGAAAATTATGTCATTAATGCAACATTCTTTTTAGTATTTAATAAAACTGTTATCGATACTAGCTGCTAAATGTCATTTTCTCTCCGAAGAACAAAATGTGTGGTAAAACTGGTACTCCTAAGGAAACGGAGAAGGAAAGAAAACATTGAAATGCTATTTCTTCCGGAAGAGAAATATTTAAGGACACAATCCATCCAGTCAATAATGCTTTAAACGAATTATTATTAGTCAAACTAAGGAAGCTACTGTATCTGATCACAGATAATACTGATCAAGATCTTTTGTTCTGGGTGGACCATGCTTTTTTTTCACTAATTTAGTCACACTTTATTTTTCTAATTCCATTTCATTTTTAGATATTTAACTTAGTGTTCTTCAAATTATTATTTTATATTAATTTATAAATATTTTTTATACTTTATTTAATTTAAATTACTTCATAATTATTGATGTATTTGTTCATTTTTCTTTGCCATGTCCGACGGCTTTTCGTAGGGTTCCAAGACTTTTAGAATTTAAACACTGGAAACAACTGAATATTACAGTCTTACAAAAGGACAATTAGAATTCACTGCAATTATTATAATTTTAATGTTCCTTCAGGTGTCATTCGAATTATTTGCAGGCGAAACTGAAACTGCTTTGTGTTACAAGGCCCCACCGCACCTCAAACGGGACAAGATATTACCCAAAAAAGGCGAATTAAAGTTCGGCGGAGAATTCAGAGGCGAAACGACGCACAAAACAGACTACACTCCAAAATATCAGCTACCTGTTAAACCATTCAAGAAAACACCAAAATGGCAGCCTGGTACTGGAAAATTCGAAAGCGAAACTACTCATGCGCATGATTACAAGTATCCTCTTCATGCAGAGAAACCTATCAAGATCACACCGAAACCCGCAGAACAAAGATTTGAAGGAGATTTTCAGGGAGTCTCACACTATAAAGTAGACTATCCAGCCCACCATGTCGTTCCTCGGTAACATTCATCTTTTAATTTTACCTAGAAAAATATAATTTAAAATTTTTATTTGAGTTCTTATTATGAATGACGCAATTCAATACAAAAGTATTTAAAGCGTCATACGTTTCTTGAATATAATATAGATATAGTTGTATATAATAATAGTAGTTAATAATAATAATAGCTGAATGTAAAATAGAGTAAAGACAAGAATTAATAAAATGTCTGTTCAAAACGTAATGAGACTAGCAAAAAAAAACTGGCAACACTGCAACGAATCACACTTAGAAGCAAACGCTTCTGATCTCGCTCATTAGCTGCTACAAGACCTATTACTGGCAATGTTGGTAAGACCTGCTGAACGCTGATAATTCGACCTGCTTTCAAATCCTGGAAAATGCAATGGCTACGTTAGAGTTTCGTAGTTTACCCCATGTGTAACGTGAATACGAAGCAATTTCGCTTAAAATGTTTTCTGTGAAGACATCTTTTCTTTTATGCTGATAGCTCTAATGCGTTTCCCATAATCTGGACAGTTTAATATAATAAACCAGTGCCCGTGCGGACGGCAAAGTGTGACCAGTGTTAGAGCTATTATGCATAAATTAATTTTTTGTGACAAGAACGTGTTACAGACTGGACACTTGAACAGCGGTGCGTGTTTAAGTCCCAAAATGCATGGGAAACGTATTGAAAAGGGATATTGGTAAATAAACTGGAAGCGTTATCATAGCGCAAATGTTTACACTGCACAGGAAATGTTCATACCAGCGACAAAATGTGAACTTGTCCTTGCAGATCGACATAAAAGAATTGGTCCTTGAAAATCAACTAAAAGGAAACTTGTCTTTGAAGATCGACATCATCAAAAATAAACGAAACACAGAAAAAGTGAGAATTGTCGTTCGTACAGATCGTCAAATGATAACGCGGATTATTACTCTGAACTAAATTTGAATATTTTTACCAGTTTGTTAGACTTTGACAAAGTCACCTGTTACTTTCTCCTCTCGTCCAAAAAAAGGAAAAATAAGCAAGTCAAAAATCAAATCCATGGTGATTTGTCTTTTGATAATTATTCATAGAGGAGGCACGTAGTTAATCACCTTTTTACTGTGAAGTGTCTGACAAACTCCGTATAAGAGTACGGCATGTTCGCACAGATACTATTGATTTACTGATGAAATTTCATCGCGATACCGCTCTATGTATCACATTAAGACTGTGTATCATAATGTTCTTCCAGTCACAGAAATTCACGTAAATTTTCTTTCCTATAGTTTTCCAGAAGCCTTAGCTCATCCGAACTTAGTTCTGCTGAGCACTTTCTCTTTCAGAAATTGTAACTAAATATGAGAAGTCATCATAGTGACCATATCCATGACATCCAAGCAGCCATAACACACCAGTTGAACATATTCACACGTGACGACGTCCCAGCAAAGCTACCAAAATTACATTGCTACCAGATACGTTATAAGGTGTGGCCTTCTTACGTAGTATACAATTAGACCAGAACTCTAAAAGATTACTTATGAATTTTCACCGTGTCTTATAAATACCACGGAGACAGGAAGAGGGTGTAAAAGACCCTTTTATTAATCCATATAAAGTTTAACAGACGGCACCAACTCTTGCTTACAGAAGACAAAAGCTTTGGCTTTAAATCAGCAATAACGGATGATCTAAATTTAATCAAATTTAAGTACGGCCTAACGGCTTCACAGTTTAAATAGCTCGCAAGCTGACTCTGACCGAAGAATGCGTAAACAAGCCGAATGGCCAGAATAACTCAACGCCGCAGAATGCTGATGGTTAAAGAAATAAATTAGCAACGTGGTCTTCAAGCAGGCAGAACACGCCTTGATTTCACTCTCCAAAACCTTCCTTTAAATACTTCCTTTCTTCTATCTAATTTGAACATCGCGTAGGCTGGAAATTTACATTCTGGCAGGGAAATGAAAACGAGGCTTGGTAGAAAAGTAAATTAACATAAAATAACTAGTTAGCATTTAAATGATATTCTATAACGTCTACGACGACGTGCAGCTTCCCAAGCTAACTACTTTAAAGAAGCTTTTCGCAGATCTCAAGAAGTGATTTGTGAATATCTTATATAGCAGTTGTTCTAGGAAGAGTCTCATTACTTTTCGAACAGACCTTATAACAAACCTGCTGAACGCTCCGGAGCCCTTGCTCCGATCAAATCTGGTATTTTTTCCTTTAATAGTTGAATAATGTGTTATCAGATAAAATGGTGTACTATATGTATAGTTTAGCTAATTTTTGATAACGGTGTGCAATAACATATAACAGGAAAAAAAAAGTCATATTGATGACGCTAAAATAAAAATCTGATTTTAATCAGCAAACATATTTATTGAATTTAGTAAATTTAAAAAATAACTAATAAAAATAGCACATCTAACTAATAAAGAAGAAATGCTAATCCTTGTTTCTGCCCTCACTCCTTTTTTTACGATTTGAAAGATAAACTCTCACATGAGAGTTTTTCGTAAACTGTTTGCTATTTTCTTATGCCTGCACGTTTGCACAGCTTATTCATACGTCGAAAAATAGCGGTCTCTTTCACGTTTTCATCGAACAACTCATTTATTCTCCACTTCTATCATTCTGGCAAATGAACTTAATATTCTGAAAGGTTTTGCTGTTCACCATAATTATCCTTCTATAATCTTTGATACTGTGCGTAAGAAATTTTCCAGGCCTTCATCATTTATCACCTAAACTCAGAGTATTTTTCTTTCCCTAAATGCTTCAAACAATATGGTTTTCAAGTTCTTAATGCTCTTATCACATCTATAGACGCGCGCGCTTACCCGGGACAATTCCGAGAAACGAGATTCTAGTAGTACGGCTTTAAGCGGCAGGCTTCCGAGGAATGTTTCGTCTAGCTAGGAGGAACGTGTCCCGGCTACGAGCAACATTTTAAACCTTTTCCCAAAATGTTCCGGCTGGAGATCAAGGATCAAGGAAGTGCAATTTACGGAGTTCATAGGCAATTACGCCTTTACCTCCACATCTTCAAAGGAAATTAAATCATCCGAAAGAGGGGATTGTCAAATAGGGTAAAATTTTGATAAGCCGAATGACTTGGAGTAAGTGCCTTCACACTGAGTCAAAAAAAGGCAAAAAACTCAGAAGGTCTTAATTTTGCGCCGAAAAAGGGCCAGAATAATTTAGATAGGGGCAGCCATAAAAATTTTGACTAGAAAAATAAAAGGTGAAGTTTCCTTGAACCTTGATAATCATTTTTAGCATACGTCAGATGAAGAATACGCAGGGGAATTCCGATGCGCGTTCTTCGAGGTGGGGGGAGGGGGGAACCTGTTTACAGGTCGAAAAAGTAGTTCTGCCAGTGATCAGCTGGGAGGGAGAAGTTTCATTTTTGACCGCTATTCAATGCGGTTTTTAAAGGCCAAAAAGGACGCTGTTAAGCGCCTAAGAAAGTTCCTTTTTAAAGGAAGAGAGAAGCTATAATTTAAAAATCTTTTACAGTTTTATTTCATTTGAGGTTAAAGTATTTTAAATCAGTCCTATTTGACTGTGATGTTTCTTATTAAAGAAACGTTAAAGGAGGTTCCTCGAGTTAATGCCGTGTGCATTAAAGAACTTTAGAGGCGGGGGGGGATTAAGGAACGAGAGGTAGTTATTCTATCAGTGTGCTCATATCTAGCCCGTTTAAATGGCAGAGCTGAATATTCCCTGTTAAGAACCGCTCTGGGTCTTTTCCGGGAAGAAGCAACAGCAGGATCGTATACGGGTAGCATATGAAGCACAGGATTTGCAACACGTTGAATATTTTTGAAAAATTTTTCCGAAAGTCGCTGTATATAGCGATTAATGGGCATAATTTTGAGGTCGTTATGAATCTCTTCGTTCCGTACAAACCACGGAGCTTTTAGAATTTGCCGAAGCATTTTAGATTGAAAAATTTGGACATGTTTTCTGTTAGTCAGTGCACATGGGCCCCATACGGGACACGCATACGTAAGAACCGGCCTAATCATTGATTTGTAGAGCAAGATTTTGTTATCAGTTGACAGGTCGCTATGACTAGCTAAAAGGGGGCGTAGGGCGGTTTTGACAGCTGTCGCACCCGCTATGATTTTGCGGATGTGAGGCTGCCAAGTTAATTTTGAGTCTAGTAAAACACCTAGATATTTGTAAGAAGAGACCCAGGGAATGGGTTCACCGAAGAGCATTAAATTAGGTAAACTTGGGATGTTTCTTCGGATGAACATAGTGGCAGCACATTTTGCGACATTAATTTTGATTTTATACAGACCGAGCCAGAGTTCTAAGGTCGAAAGGTAACTCTGCAATTGTGAGATTACCTGGAGGGTGTTGGAGTGTTGTGAAATGATGGCTGTATCGTCTGCGTATAACGCAAGATCGATATTTGGGGCCTTAGGAATATCATTTACATAAAGGTTAAAGATTGCAGGGGCGAGGAGGCTACCTTGAGCCACCCCAGCATAGATTGGGCGGGGAGAGGAGAATTCGTGGTTAACTCGCACGCGGAAACTGCGTCCGGTCAAGTACGAGTTAATAATTTTAATGAGATGAGCCGAAAAACCAAGCCGCATGAACTTGTAAATAATCCCGTCATGCCAAGTCCTGTCAAAGGCTTTGGCAACGTCCAGATAGACAATTCCAGTTTTCTCTCGCTTACGAAAGCCTTCATGAATGAATTCCACTACACGGAGTAACTGGTGTACCGTGGAGTGTTTAGGTCGGAAGCCGAATTGTTCCGGGATTAGTAAATTTTGATCCCGACAGAATTCATTCAGGCGATTAAGTAAGACAAATTCATAGATCTTAGAGAGAGAAGATAACAGACTTGATGGGTCTGTAATTGACGGGCAAGTTTAAATTTTGTCCCGGTTTTGGAATGGGGAATGCTGCAATTTTCCAGCAGTCGGGGAAATAGCTTCTCCTGAGCATTAAATTTATGAGTACCGTGATCCATACGATAAACATAGGGGGGAAGT